AAATCAGGCAGCCGCCCAGATATTAGAAACAATTACCGCTAATTACCAGGCCTGCCGATTCCCCATTGTCTGCCTGCACTCCACCAGGAATCAAGGAGCAGGCGACGAGGATGTTGGAGGAAGCTTTCAGTTTTGGCTTGCAGAACGCCTGGTGCTGTCTGGGGGCTGGGCTCCTTCCTGCCTCGAAACCCACAAGGCCCCAATACCTTTCTGTCTCTCTCAGTTTCAGAACGCACGTCCTCCTTACAGAATAATAGATCTCGGATCCTCCAGAGTGTTGGGAAGGTGGGGTGGAGGGACCCAGGGCCATAAAGCAAAACCCACATCTCAGCTGTGAGTCAAGTGTCGATCTCAGTGCGAGTCACTAAGGGTCTTTGGTTTTATAAATGTGGTGAGTACACACTTTAATCTCCAAACACTTAAGTGGGTGTTTATTTTGTACTTTCTCTATAAAAATATACTGCTGGTGAATGAAGATAATAGCCACAGGGGTTTACCTGTGTGGCTCCAGTACCAGACGCCTCTTTCTGAAGCTGAACCAAAGACTTGAGAGGAATAGGAGGCCACCCCAGAAATCAACACTGGGAGCAAGAAGAAATCTGATAGGAAGGGAGGGGCTCATATAGGCAGAGGTCATGCCTATGACCCCATCCCCCAGTAGGTAGCCAAAGCTTGAAGAGGCTGTGGAAGATGTGCAATCAAGTTATCCATTACCCCAGCTGCCGGCCACTCCCAGCTGTCATCAGTTGGATGTTGTTTCTGGGGTGAGGTGGGAGGGGTTAACCCTTAGGGGCTTCCTCTCTGCCCTGCCTCTAAGCAGAAAGAATTGTCACACCAGAAGAGAGGCCCCTCCGACTGTGTGGCCCATGTGAGAAAGGGCAGCTGAGTGCAGAGATGCATGCTGGGAGGACAGGGTGAGCCAGACACTACCTGCCTGGCTTAAGTAGTTACTACTCTACCGCTGATCTGTAAAATGGGTCCACAAATAGTATGGACCAAGGGCCTTTAAGGCCCAAATGAATTAATATGTGTAGAGAATGCCCTTTGACCTTTGGCAGCCCGCAGTAAGGGTTGTTCTTTTGCTGTTACAGATCTCTTAGTCAAGGTTCCATTTTTCTGGTTTGTTGAAGCTTAATCTCAGGTGGTTCGGGATGGTCCAGAGGGTTAGATCTATGTCCTAAACATAGAGCCCATGTAGAGAGAATCCATGTAAACTGCCAAAACAGGCCCAGGGGGAACAGCCAAAGTATGTCTGCCCTTGGTATCTGTGAGTTGCTTCTGTGGACTGAACTAGCTTTGACTCAAAAAAATAATCGAAAAAACACTCTAGAAAGTTCCAAAAGCAAAATTTGGACTTGCTGCGTGCCTACCACTGTAACGAAGACACACCGATGGAATGGTGTACAAATGCACATTGCTGCAGTGCCTGCCATCTCTCGGGCCCTCCATCCACTGTACGAGTACCGTTTGCCTCTGTTCATGTTGTCCATTAGGTAGATCTGCAACGGTCATATCTGTACGGCACATGACGAAGTTACCACGTCATTTTTCCTAAACGCATAACAACTATTTACATTATCATGTGCAGTGGCATTGTGGGAAGTGTCTTATGTAATCTGCCCATGATTTAAAGTTCATGAGGGGGACTGGAGAGATGGCTCAGCGGTTAAGAGCACTGACTGCCCTTCCAGAGGACCTGGGTTCAATTCCCACACATGGCAGATCACCACTGTCTGTAATTGCAACTCCAGGAGTTCCAACACCTTCACACAGACACACAGACAGGCAAAACCACCAATGTACATAAAATTAAACTCAAAAAACTTTTAAAAAGAAGTACGTGAGGGCACCTGCATAGGTCTATGCAAACACTATCGATACATTCATCTTATAGGAAGGACTTGAGCGTCTGTGGATTTTGGTGTCTCTAGGGGTTCTGGAACTGGAATCAGTCTGTCATGGGTACCAAGGGACAGCCGGTCTAATAGGATGGAGAAAGCACAGACACTGAACACATTGTTTAGTTTGTGGCAAGAATCCCACGTGCTCCAGTGCCCTCTTTCTTCCCATAGTGTTTGCCACCTTCTCTCATGGTATATAATTGATATTATTATAGATATGTTTATTTACTTGTGTGTATTCATGTTTCATCTGAACAAATGTGTGTAACCATGTGTGTGTCTGGTGCCCACAGAGGTCAGAAGAGGGCGTCAGATCCCCAGGAACTGGAGTGACAGGCAGTTGTGAGCCACCGTGCGGTGCTGGGAATGGAACCCGAGTCCTTGCAAGAGCTGCCAGTGCTCTTAACCACTGAGCCATCTCCCAGCCCACTGATAGTGCTTCTTGCTGTGTGCCTGTGAGGACAGAAATCACCGTCTGCTTTGTTCCCTGATGTGGTCTATGTTCAGAACAGTGCCAGAGATGTGCTAAAAAAAAAAATACGGTGAATGAATGAGTCACGTAGAGGCTGGCTGAAATGCCTGTATCCTTGCAGGGTTATCAGTGCTGGGTAGTGTTGGTATTGTCAACTGTTATCACTGTGCTGCTGGTTCCACGGAGGAAGGATGTGTGGTCCATAGGCATCAGCCATCATTCCAGTGTCTTCCGGCTGGTGACCGTTGCCACCTGCTCCTTAGTCATTGTTTCTCTGGTCTCAGCCACAGTCCTTCAGCAGACCATCAGCCTCCATGGGTCTTTTTCTCAAGTGCACATGTGACTTTTGTATCTGGGGTGTGGAGGGAAACTGGGGCCTCAGAGATTGTCCCAGGGTCACTTGAGAAGACACCCAGGCTGCTATTTCTACAGAGCATTGTGCCCTTTCCTTGGCTCTACTTTCTCAGAATTATAGTGCGAGCCCCACTGCTTTCAGATCCCTGTAGACTATCTGGGGTTTTCTGTGATCCTTCAGCATCACCAGCTCACCTGGGGACCATAGATCTCAGCTCACTCCAGCCTCACCAGACTCCCTCTGCTCTCTAGGCTGGGGGCTTTCTGTTTTTTGTTTCTTTTCCGGGCAGCACTATCCCATTTTTGTTCCTATTTTTATTTCCCTTTTTTGTTTTTTGTTTTGTTTTTTGTTTTTTTGAGACAGGGTTTCTCTGTGTAGCTTTGGAGCCTGTCCTGGAACTTGCTTTGTAGACCAGGCTGGCCTTGAATTCACAGAGATCCGCCTGCCTCTGCCTCCCAAGTGCTGGGATTAAAGGCGTGCGCTACCACCACCCGGCTTGTTCCTATCTTTCTAAGTCTGTTTCTTAGATTTGCAATTTAAAAGTATGAAACTGAGTCTCTGTGCATCCTTCTAGGCTACCCCTCTTCTAAAGCAACCGTCTGACACCCTGTTACTGGTGTGCGGAGGACCCAGGGGGCAGTAGGGAACTATGGTAATGGGTGTGGAGTCCTGTGCCTGCTGTGGCTCTGCCCATTACGTTCACGGGAAGGGAATGGGTTGACTGAGCAGTTTACCTGACATGGTGGAGGGTAGACCTGAGCAGCCGTGATCTGGGAGCTAGTAGAGTCCGAAGGCTTTGTGAGGGCATCTGTCACTGGTCTAGTCCTCTGGGGCACTCCTTTTAACTACCAGAGTTATTGAGTGACCAGGCTCAGCTCAGGCATCTGACTCTGGATGCATCAGCTCTGCCCAAGAATTGGGGTCACCCTTTTTGCTGGGCAAATGTGTTTCTCATCTGAATAATGGTGGAAAGGGTTGGTTTGTGGTTTTTTGTTTGTTTGTTAAGAAACAGTCAACCTCCTGTGGTTGTGGTGGGGATGAGAGGAGAGAAAGCTGCAGGCGGCTTGTTCCTGTAGACAGAGCTCTGTCAGGCAGAGCCCATCCCTCCTTCTCACTCAGTACTGCAAGGGACCCTGGAGAGGGGAGCAGAGGGTTGCCATTCCAGGTTAGATGAGGAAAGGGAAACTTAGAGGTAGAGCAGGGAGGGAAACTAGCTAAAGCTGGTTTAACCAAAGTAATAACAGTAACTGTTACTGACTTATGAATTCAAAAGGAGGTAACTTCGTTAGGCAAAGCTTGATCCAGAAGCCTACATAATACCTCCAGTCTGATAATTGTAGTGGGTAGCCATTCCAGCTTTGATCTGGAAGTTCCAACCCCCACTGAGGCTTCGGCAACTGTCACGCCTACAAGGCGGGGCCAAGGGAGGCGCCGAGAGCCCCAAGATCTGGATGGGCCAGTGCGCTCTCTGTTCCAGGACCCTAGATGGTGGAGGTTGACTGAGCAGAGCTCCAAAGAACATCGCTGGACTTCGAAGATTTATTTAGTGGGTAACTTACAAAAAAGGGAAAGGTAGGTCATGGGGTCTGGGGAAGGTATATCGAAGTCCAGCGGTGTTCTCTGAAAGCTGGTCCTCCCTGCTACAATCACATGCCTTGGAGAAGTGGGGTCCCTAAAGAAAATAGGAGGTTCTATTACCAAAGAAGGAAAAGTAGATATCTGGAAGCCAAACAGCAGCAGCAGCACCTGTCGGGTCCAAGACTGATGTGCAGGGCACTGATCATCTGGACCTTTCTCATTAAACTGCTGATTCTGGTCTAGCAGCTGGGCTGAAGCGTCACATGTGATGGGATCCTAACCAGCTCCAGATGTACCTGCTGCTGCTGATCTCTGCACCACACTTGGAGTATCAAGGCATTAAGCCTTTTGTGCCAGCACCTGCCAGAACCATCTCCCACGATCTCTATAGCCCCGCTGGCCAGTTAAATCAGCATCCGTGGCACAGCCAGTGGTGGATATGGATGGAGATCACCATGGAGCCTGGGCAGTGGTACACACACCTTTAACCCCAGTACTCAGGAGGCAGAGGCAGGCAGATCTCTGAGTTTGAGGCCAGCCTGGTCTACAGAATGAGTTCCAGGTTTGCCATGGGTACACAGAGAAATCCTATCTCAGTACACAAAACAAACAAACAAACAAAAAGATCACCATGGAATGAGGAACATTTTGGATTTGTGCACCGATCCCAAAGCACATCTTTTTCTTCTTGCAGTCTTAACTATGGAGGTGTTTGCCTGGCTTCAGATGCCCAGTTCAGTGACTTCTTGGGGAGCATGGGACCAGCACAGTTTGTGGGCCGCCAGACCCTGGCTACCACACCCATGGGTAAGTGTTTGAAGCCCTGTGCCCCTCCCTCCTTGCCCTGGCCTGATGGCTTCATGCTCTGAGCACCTGGGCTACATAGTCCAGCCGTCCGTGGTGCCTATTTCTGAAGTGGCCAAGCTGTAGCTTTAGGACTTAGTCTGCTCTTGTTTGGGGTGGGAGTGGGTGCAGAGGGATAGCAAGTCCCCACTGGAGCCTCTCAGCCACTTTCTAGTGTCATTTCTTGTAGGGGACGTGGAGATTGGCTTGCAAGAGCGGAATGGCCAGCTGGAGGTGGACATCATCCAGGCCCGGGGACTGACTGCCAAGCCAGGCTCCAAGACACTGCCAGGTATGGGGACATCTGAGAGCTATATGTAGTGTGGTCCACCGGACTGAACTTGGAGAGAGAGAGGCATCTTTCTTGTTTGTCATTGTACCCTGTTACCTAGTATATACTAGTATACCTAGTATACTTGGCACTCAGCGGGGCTCAGAAAGCATTTGTGGAGAGGTTGGCAAATGAATGTGTAAGGATGGCATGGTGGGCAAGTCGTGGACTGAGGGAAGAAACAACTAAGCAAGGGAAGGAGGAGGTAATGAGGGTCACTAGAAGGAAAGCAGGCCCACCCAGACGTGACCTCACATGATGCCCACCCAGACGTGACCTCACATGATACCCACCCAGATGTGACCTCACATGCTACCCACCCAGACGTGACCTCACATGCTGCCCACCCAGATGTGACCTCACATGCTGCCCACCCAGATATGACCTCACATGCTGCCCACCCAGACGTGACCTCACATGCTGCCCACCCAGATATGACCTCACATGATAACCCCCAGATATGGCTGCCCATGATGCCCACCTTACACCTGTCTGTCCAACTGCCCTTTCCCATACTCCTGGGGGTTCTCTGATCCCCATAAATATGTGGGTAAGCCCTCTCTGTTGCACCTATTACCCACAATTTGAGGGAGCAGCCTAGAACCCTGCCTTCTGCCCTCTGTTCCCAGCTGCCTATATCAAGGCCTATCTGCTGGAGAATGGTGTCTGCATTGCCAAGAAGAAGACCAAAGTGGCCCGCAAGTCACTGGACCCGCTGTACAACCAGGTGCTGCTGTTTCCTGAGAGTCCCCAGGGCAAAGTCCTGCAGGTAAGGTGTGTGTGTGTGTGTGTGTGTGTGTGTGTGTGTGTGTGTGTGTGTGTTAGTTATCTGGGGACAGGGTCTCTTCAGGGCCTTACCCAGGGGAGTTGAAGCCCTGAGGCTGACTTGTACCCACAACTTCCTGTGTCACTATGAATTTAGTCCCTCAGGAGTCTTGGCTGTTTCATCCCTGGAAAACATGCAAGAAGGAATGAACTAACTCCTAAAAGTTGTCCTCTGACCTCCTTATGGATG